CTTTTCTGCAATGAATGGTACTCTCCCTCTTCAAATCCTCCCTTGATGTTCTTCCCTCCTCTGTCCTGTGTCCTCTTCTCCACAATCATCACTTCAGGAACAAGCTTCTTAAGCCTACTTCCTATGGTGGATGTGGGAGGTTTTCATTTGTTCTCGCACAGTGTGCATGTATCCCCCCTCTCCCTCCATGTGATTCAGCTGGGATTGATGCCAGTCATAGTGATTGATTCAGAGAGGAGCATATGATCCAGGCCAGGTAATGAGAGTTACTTCAGGACTTTGGTTGAAATGGGAAAAAGGCACTGCCTTTCTCTACTAGGGTTACTAAACTGGTAGAGCATAGCTGGTAGCAGCTGGCGACAATCTGTTACCATTTGAGGACAATCTGCCTGAAAATAAAACCAACGCAGAGGAAGGCAGACACTATAGAGATGGAGAAAGAGTGATTTCCAATCACAGCGCTTGAGCACTTTAATCCTACCATACTTGAATCCATTTTTACCTTTGTAATTATTTCTATTATAAGGGTCAGTATGTTTAGTTTTATTCTTTAGCAAGTTTGGGTTGGGGTTTCCCAGGTGATGCAGTGGTAAAGAATCCTCCTGCCAATGCAGGAGACTCAGGAGATGTGGGCTCGATCCCTGGGTTGGGAAGATGCCCTGGAGGAGGAAATGGCAACCAATTCCTGTATTCTTGCCTGGAAAGTTCCATGGACAGAGGAGCCTGGCAGGCTGCAGTCCATGGGGTTGCAAAGAGTCAGACATAACTTGAGCAACTGAGCACACAATTGGGATTGGGTTTCTATCTCTTGTAATGTAATTGAAAAAGTCTTGACTTAATAGACAGTACCCATCAGCCCACTGATATCTCTACTTCATCTTCACTTTGTTATTCTCTCTGTCATTCAGTTGGAAATAGTCTCACTTGTATTCTAATCACTCTCAACTCTTCCCTTCTCTGTTACAGTCCTATACATACATTTATCTAGGGCTTTGTAGTCTACCAAGGGGCTTTCATATTTGATTCACATAAAGCTCTGAGGAAGATGGAAGCATGATTATCCCCTTATTCAGCTAAGGAAACAAGTCGAAAGATGCTTATGATGATTCGTCTGTATCATATTTACAGTTACTGCTAGGACTCAAACATTAGTTCCCTGACTGCTGACTTAGAAGAGCTCTTTCTTCTATATTCTGTTGCCTCTTTTGGGTAGAAACATGGCTTTAATGTAAATTTACACTCTTCTCACATGGAGACCTCCTTATAACATTTGTAGATCCAGTGGGACAGAAGGCCTCATCTTTGCATCAGATCTCGTACTGGCTCTCCTCTCTTTGCCATCATTTGGATTCATTTCATCTGTCTGTACCAGCTGTCACAAGTCTTTGCTATAGGTTACTTCTCAAGGACTTAACCTAGTCTAAGAATATGACTGGTTCTGGGTTCTATTATGACTTTGGCCCCCCCCATGCACATTGGAGAACTTCTTAACTGCTTCAGCTCTTCAACTTCTTTGACAATCCAGTACTTCACTTGAGAAAGCCCCTCAAATCATCTACCATCCCTACATATCTTCCTGATAATGCATTTTATGCTCCCATGGCAGGGCTGGGGAGCATAGCCACAAAGATGCTAATTCATGCCCTGGCCATGCTGCCTGTTTCCATCTGGACCCTTCCTGCTGTGCGGATCTCTAGATGGCTACAGACCTACAGTGGTTGTTTCTCTCTCCCTCAATCTCTGCCAGTCTGTTCATGATCTTGTTTTCTCCACTTGTTTGATGTCTGAGATCATTTTGCATTTATGTAACTTCTATAGTAAACATTATCAGTTGCATGCTTAGCATTCATTGTTCGCTTCCTAATAGTACCTAACTTTTGCTAAGAGATCCCTTTCCCAAGGAAGTACATGTGCTTCAGGAGAAGCTAATTCTATAGTCATCTGTACAGTTCCTGTAAAGTTCCTGTATAGTCACCTGTACAGGTCCTACTTGGGCCAAGAGTAATAGTAGTAGTGATTGTGCATGCATGCATGCTCAGTCTTGTCCAACTCTTTACAACCCCATGGACTCTAGCCCACCAGACTCCTCTGCCCATGGGGTTTTATAGGCAAGAATACTAGAGTGGATTGCCATTTCCTCCTCCAGGGGATCTTCCTGATGCAGGGATTGAACCTGCATCTCCTGTGTCTCCTGCACTGGCAGGCTCTTCCCACTGAGCCACCTGGGAAGCCCAGTAGTGATTGTAGCTCTTAACAAATATTCTAGTTATCCTATATACATAATAGAATTTCATTTCCTAGATTGTTGAAGGTGGGTGTGGCCATGTGACTTGCTTTGGTCAATGAGCCCAGATACAGTGATTGCTAAAGCATGTGTTGAGATGAAGCCTCCATCAGCCTGGGTCCAAGGGTGACTATTATGGTAGAGCTCCCCCTGCCGACATACACCAGCATATAGTGAGAACAAGAAGTAAATGTTTGCTGTTATGTCACTGAGATTTTCAGTATAAGCAGGACATTCTAACTGATACAGTAATCTCATCTTTATAACAGTGCCTGGGTCAAAAACCTAGTCTAAGCCAAGTGAAGTGAAAGCTACTCAGTTGTGTCCAACTCTTTGTGACCCCGTGGACTATACAGTCCATGGAATTCTTGAGACCAGAATACTGGAGTGGGTAGCCTTTCCCTTCTCCAGGGGATCTTCCCAACCCAGGGATTGAACCCAGGTCTCCCTCATTGCAGACAGATTCCTTACCAGCTGAGCCACCAGGGAAGCTCAGTCTAAGCTAAGTAGTCATGGCATTTCTTGGTCAAGAAATTGGTTGGAAAAAAAAGCTGTGACTCACTTGGTACACTGAAATGAGAAGGTGAAATGAGAAGGGGGATTTGCTGGGGCCTTGAGCAAAGAACTGTGGTGTTGGAGAAGACTCTTGAGAGTCCCTTGGACTGCAAGGAGATCCAACCAGTCCATCCTGAAGTAGATAAGTCCTGGGTGTTCATTGGAAGGACTGATGCTGAAGCTGAAACTCCAATACTTTGGCCACCTCATGCGAAGAGTTGACTCATTGGAAAAGACCCTGATGCTGGGAGGGATTGGGGGCAGGAGGAGAAGGTGACGACAGGATGAGATGGCTGGATGGCATCACCGACTCGATGGGCATGAGTTTGAGTAAACTCCGGGAGTTGGTGATGGATGGGGAGGCCTGGCGTGCTGCAATTCTTGGGGTCGCAAAGAGTTGGACACGACTGAGCGACTGAACTGAACTGAGCAAAGAAGTTTCCTGACTTACAAGAGAGCTACCAGAAGAGCTGAATTCTCTCTTCCTCTTGATGTTATGTATAAATGTGAAGCCTGTAGTTACTATAATTATCTTTCTACAGGGATAAAGCCAAAACAAGGGAGAGTGGTATCAAAAGAATCTCAAAGAAATGGTGCCAAAACCCTGATGGAATCATAACCAATCATTACTCTTTGTCTGGAATTTTTTCAGTTAGATAAGCCAATAAGTCCCTTTTACTGTTTAAGCTCTTTGAGTTGGGTTTCTTATATATCTCCACAAAAGTAACCTAACAGTTGTAACTTCCTTTCTTAGTTCTTATCTTTACTTCTCACTCATTTATGTAGTATCAGAGAAATAACAGCTAACGATAGTTCATTTATAGAAGACTTATTATGTGTCTGGCACTATTCTAAGTGCTTTCTAGACAGATTCTGATTCCATTTCAGAGTAGAGAATATATGTGTGAGCTCCTTGAGAACTCTTTTCTTATTTATATCTATTTCTTCCCACAGTGCTGATTTGGTACAAACAGATGCTAACCAAATATTGAATAATTGAACAAATATAAATTGTTTTAGTCTCACAGAGCTTATAGTATTTTTGACTATCCAGGTCTCACAAACCTAAAAGACTGAGACCAACACAGACATCATAAATGCTGTTAGGTACTGAACTGCAGTTCCAAAAGGCATGTTAAAGGCTGTGAAGAAAAGATAGCATTATTTCGTCCAGCTTGGGAGTGAAAAGCTTTTGAAGAAAATCAGATTTGTTCTTTAAAAAAACAAAAGCAGATACGGATAAGCATAGAGTTGGAGGGTGTATATTAAAGTTAGTGTAATAAGAAGCAAGAGTATGGTGTCAAGGAATGTGGTGTACTGAAGAACATTCAGTACATTCAATTTAGGTGCTCAATAAATGTTAGATATTTTTTCTCATCATGAGACAGTAGAGATCCTTTTTCCCTTGAAATAATTGATTCAGGCTTGATATAAAAGAGATGTTATGGCCACTACCCTGACTGCTTATCTCCTTACCTGCTCAAACCCCTTGCACATAGTAAGCAGTCACAGATGTTTGTAAAATTACAGACATCCATTAATGCATTATTTCTCCCTAGAGAAAGAAGTTTCTGAGTGCTTGTCTGCCAAGCATTCCACATGTCTTCTGGCTCTCTTAACTCAATGCTGGGCACATACTGTTGCACAGTCGGACCTTAGTTAAGTACTTGATTGAATTGATTCAAATTATCTGGCTTGGGAAGTTCTTTACCTAGTGAGCCTGGCTTTTCAGTACATCAACACTTCATCAAACCTCTGTCAGATCAGATTCTCAATAGGGTATCTTAAATGCATGCTATTAAAATACTTAAATAGAAGTCCCATCTGTTTGAATAGACCGAGCCTGATGAATCAGCCAGAGAGGTGGGAGGCTGATCCAGCTAGACATGAACCAATCGGGTGGGGAACAGGCAGCTCTGTCTCCCTTTGCCACCCCAGAGTGCTTATGCCAGAATGTACAGATTCATGAACAGAAACCAGTTAGCAAAATATGAGGACTGAAGCATGCCACAGGGCAGTGTCTGTGGGCTAATCAACAGAGGTCTGGCTGGAGTCCTTGTCCCAGCTGTGGATCATGCTGAAGGGCGTGTCAGAGCAGAAGGAGGAGCCCAGGGACTTACCCCTTCCATAATTCTTGCATCGCTGGAATCTAGATTTTGTTTTCATGCAATTGTTAAAAAGCATTTAAAAAAACAGCTTTATTTTGGGAACTGTCACTGGTGAAGTCAGCAAGGACTTAAAGACCTAAGATAAAATACAATGATAGAAAAGTGTTGAGGAAGCTGCCTTCTTTTTATTCCCCAAGAAAGATTTTGCACAGACATCCATCCTTGCTGAGGTGTCATCAAGCCCTCATTTCCAAATGGTCTTGGCTGCCAGAGTCCTAATTACAGTTAACTTCTCAACCACACTGTCTCCCTTTTCCCACCTCTCCTGATATACCCTGGATGTGGATCATACTCTTTGGTGCTGCGTTAAAAAAAGAAAAAAATTTTGGGGGGTCACTCTTCACCACACCAAAATACATGTTAAAAAATATTCTTTCTGAAGCTCTATTCCTCTGATAACATTTAGGACATGAGTCCTTGTGCACAACAGATGCTCAATAAATAGTTTGTCCAATTAACATGAATCATTTCTCAGTTTCCTGGGCTAAGAAGAAAAAAATGTGATGTGCTTTCTTATTATCACCACTGATCTGATTTCTCTTCTGCTCTACGGTCAACTTTGCCCCTCCATACCCATGTCCTTAACTCAGCTGCGCATATACACATGGAAACACAGTCCCACTTGGGGTTATTATCTATCCCATTTGGGTTATTCTATTGCCTCTTTAGGCTTTTATTTAGAATATTTTTTTTTAATTAGAGGAGAAGTGAGAAGAATAATGTGTAAGTCAGACGTTCTGGATTCTGGTCCTAACTGGACCATTTTCTTTGGATCTAAGGTAAGTGAGTATGTGCTCAGATTCCTCATCTCAGGTATAGTAATAATATATGACTGACTCACCTTCCAGGTTGGTTCAAGTGTCAAATGAGCTAATATATATGGAAGTCCTTTGAGAAGAGACAAAGCACTGTAAATGACTCTTACTGTAAAAACCTAACCCCTTCTGAGTTCATGTACCCAGTAAAACACATACAGTATCAAAAACGTCTAGGAGAGGCCCAGTGGTTGAGATTCTGCACTTCCACTTCAGGGGGTCCAGGTTTGATTCCTGGTTGGGGAACAGATATATGGGGAAAAAAAAAAATCTTCTATAGTGTGTCTCCCTGGGAAGTGGGTCCTTTCTCACTTTCCTCCTCAGGAGAGGCTAACTGGCTGGCTTCCTGGGCCCACATGGGATGCTCTTACTCTGATGAATTCAGTGGGGCCTAGAGTCAGGCCCTCAGTTTTGCAGCATCAGAATTCAGTTTTGGCAGAAACTCTGAGTTGATCAGCCTTGAGATGCTGACTCATGCCCACTCACAGGAGACTGATACATAACCAGAATGCCCATTTATTAATTTACAGTGGGGAACATTTAGCCTGCTCTGTACCTTTGCTCCCTGTAGACCAGTTGCAAGGAAATAGGAAGTATCAGAAGGTTGCTCAGTGAGCAAGGAACTTTGATAAGGGGAGTAACATCAGGTTCTGCTCATTTGGCTTTGCTATCTTAAAAGGAATCTGCTTTTCAGAAAGTCTGATGTTTCTGACACCCTGGCAGGCACCCAATTCTAGAATTTTGCTTACATGAGTTAGAATGTGCCAAGCATTCCCTTTGCTCTACCAGCCCTCTTCTGACCGACACATTGTTATTTATATATGTTGATCATTTTCAGACCTCCTGCAATGGTTCCCAGAGCCAGTCTGCTAGCCAGGCTGGGGTTTATTGCCACAACAGCACCTAGAGGATTTACAAAGAAAGATTTTTTTTTTTTTTCTCAACAAGAATTCTAATTTATTGGATCTGGAAGGGCATAGGAATCTGAATGTTTACAGGATCCCAAGTGACTCTGATCATTAGCCAGGTTGGGGAACCACTTATTTGGCTAAGAATCAATACTGTTCCTTTAAGATGACTTTGCATATTCTGATCTGATCTGTTCTGAACTGATTGTATAGGTTAACTCTGAGAACAGAATGTTATTTCCTAGGTCTCAAGGGCCAATCAGTGTTGCATCCTTGAACCAACCTTCCTCCTTTTCCTTCCTCCCTGTCTTCTTTCTTTCTTTTCTTCCATAAATATTTATAAATACCCAATGAATAAGGAAGCTTACCAAGAGAAGATTGTGGTGATCAACACTTCAAGCGCCAAAAGCAAAAGCTGTTTTTAGGTGATAGTAGACTTTGAGGATTAGGGTATGTAATCCCAGTGCATAGACCACTATGAGGCCAGCCAATGAAATCAAGGCCTGACATGAAACAATCCAGAGACAATTTTGCTGTAGTAAGCAATGCTGGGTCTTGGTATCCTTCCTGAGCTGATGTCCTATAGGAAACAACCTTGTGCCCACAAGTGGCCTTGATGGAAACTCTAAGGACCATGTATCCATCCCACTCATGGCCAAGAAAACACGTCATTGTCTTTCCTCTCAAACATGGTTCTCATCTTACCAGCACCTGGCAGTGACTAGCTTCTGTAAGAGTACCAACATCAGGGGAGTCAAATGAGCATCATCTAAGGAGGGGTGCCAACAAGTGGTGGGTATCTCAATATAACAGCTATTTTGTCTCCATAGTTGATAAGCCTTATGCATCACAAAAGCTACTGTTAAGGGTTGAAGTGAAGTGAAGTTGCTCAGTCGTGTCCAACTCTGTGACCTCATGGACTGTAGCCTACCACGCTCCTCTATCCATGGCATTTTCCAGGCAAGGTACTGGAGTGGGTTGCCATTTCCTTCTCCAGAGGATCTTCCTGACCCAGGGATTGAACCCGGGTCTCCTGCATTGTAGGCAGATGCTTTACTGTCTGAGCCACTGGGGAAGCCCCTGTTAAGGGTTAGTATTCCCATTTTCCAGATGAAGAAATTTAACCTCAAAGAGGTTAAATGAGTTGCTAAAGTTCATACAAGCAGTAAGTGGTAGAATTGGGATTAGAATCCAGGCCCACTCAGTTTCCAAGTCCTATGCCCCTTCTGCGCATGACTCCATGGTGCTTAGTAAAGATGGTTATTTTTTCGTTTTTTTTTTTTTTTATAAGAAGTTTTGAGCATAAGATTCATTGTGCTGTAGCTAATACTTAAAGTTTCTCTCTACATAATAATGTATATATGTATAACTATTTATGGGATTCCCAGGTGGTTCAGTGGTAAAGAATCCACCTGCCAATGCAGGAGACACAGGAGATGTGGGTTAGATCCCTGGGTCGGGAAGATCCCCTGGAGGAAGAAATGGTAACTCCAGTATTCTTGCTGGGAAAAATCCCATGAACAGAGGAGACTGATGGACTATGGTTTGTGGAGTCACACACTCACACGACTCAGCACAACAACACAGCACCATACCAATTTAAATATCGATATATATAGTAACATCTAAGTTGGCATTTGGTGATGCACTAAGTCTGATTCCTTTCTGCTATATAGCTGGGGACAGGATTGGGAGTCAGGATACCTGATTATAGTCCTGGCTCAGTCATGTACTCACAAGTGTGTCTTGAGAAGCTCCTTTTTCCTAGCTGGGCCTCAATTTTTTCATCTAGTCAGATGAAGGTGAGACTAGATCTAGGGTCGAACTAGATCTCTAACATGCTAGGATTCTAAGAATCTGGTAACAACTTTCTTAATTATTTTTATATCAAAGTATAGCAATTGAATTCTAGAAAAAAAGTTGAACGTATATATTATTGTTGTTCAGTCACTCAGTCGTGTCTGACTCTTTGCAACCGCATGGACTCCAGCATGCCAGGCCTCCCTGTTCTTCACTATCTCCCAGAGCTTGGTCAAATTCATGTCCATTAGTCGGTGATGCCATCCAACCATCTCATCCTCTGTCATCCCCTTCTCCTCCTGCTCTCAATCTTTCCCAGCATCAAGGTTTTTTCCAATGGAACATATATATTAGAAAGCTATTTTAAAATAACACATTTATTAAGACCTATATAGATGCCAGGGACTATAATAACTAATTTATAGACTTTTGATTAATTCTTATCACACCAACTATTTTTACTTATCCATCTCTGAGGAACAGAGAGAGAAGTACTTTGCCCAGGACAGCGTGGCCAATGGGTAGAGAAGCCAATACTGAAATCTAGAACTGATTCTACAGCTATCTCTCAAATGTGGTCCTACCCTCTATTCTCTTGTTTTATGGCTCCCATAGATGGGATGATGACTGTAGAGAACATTTCTTAAAGTTCCATTTGACATTACCTGACCTTGAAATATGAGGAAAAAGCAGCCAACACCATTGTAATGGAATTTCCTGGAGACTTTTGTTATTGTACTATTATCTCTCCCTGGGAGGGGGGTTATAAAAGTCAGACTGAATATGGGTTCAGAGTATGTTTTTCTTTCAACTGTATAAGAGAAAACATTATACTGGTCAGCAGACCCTGGCTATAAAATTGGTTCTATTTGTTAGCTTAATTAGTATCCTTTGTTTTCCTAATATTAAGCTCATAAAAGTTAGCCGCAGTTCCTTTGACTGGGTCTAAATAGGAGGAATTAAATCAATGAAGGAAAAACTCCTTTTCTGTCTGTTACTGATCCTGTGGAGATGAAAAGAAGAGAGGAATAGATGGTTACTGGCAGGAAAATAGAGAACTATCAAAGGTTTAGGTCTTGTACAGACTGGGGTGGATGCATCTGACTTCCATCTTCTTCAAATGATGCCTCAGTACCTACCTGTTGCCTCTGCTCTTCCTGGAGAGGAAGTCAGGTGGCTAGTCTGAGCAATGGTCTAGAAAGAGCCATAAACACACCTGTCTACCCCTAACCCTAACCCACCCTATCAGCCTCATCTTCATCAGGGATGATGCCTGAATGAAACCACAAGAGTGTCCAATCCTGGGACCAGAGATAGGAGAATAGGGAGGAAGATGGAGGTAGTGTTACTACTTCCTTCCATTGTCTTGCTCACTACCCACAGGAAAGGGTCCTCTTTTTCTTGTGTGCCTTGAATTACATGTCACGCAGGTGGGTTGGTGAGAATTGAAAAAGGCTGTCTATAAATTGCTCAAACTAATTTAGAAGTCATTCTGCAACATGTACTCAAGCCTACACTTTCAATAATGTCAGAAAAGTTTGCTTTACTTTTATATCAATAGGTTATGGCATTTTTTTTTTACTAAACGTAAGAGTGACACAAAGCTGAAAAGTAGAACCACAGAACCAAATCAGAATATAAAATTGTCTAGACAGTCTAGAGTGTCTTGTCTAACTCAATAAGTTAAAGTGTATCAGAAATAATTGCAGAATTCTACATTTAGGCTAAAAAAAGAAAACCAGCTCTGCAGAATGAAGGAGATTACCTGGACAGTGTTCATTTATATAGAAGAACTGGGAACTTAAATTAACCACAAGTTGAATATTTGCCACCACTATGATGTGTCTGCTAAAGAAAACCAACCCAACCTTTGACTACAAGAGGGGAAATGAGGTGGAGATGACAGGCAGCCCTGGTCCTACTGCAGTGAGCTGTGGTCAGACCACACTGAAGTACTGGGTTCCGTGGTAGGTACCACAATTCTTGGGGGATACTGATCAACAAGAGCAATGGCAAATAGAATGGTGTGAGTCAGAAAATCAGAGAGTTGATAGAAATGGTCATATTTAGCCTAGAGAAGAAAAAAAAAAAAAAGTCAACCAAAGGAACAGCCCGATCATTGCAAGTATTTCAAAGGCTCTTAGGTGACTGGCAGAATGAATTTGTCCTTCCCTGTCAAGATGTAGAGCAAGGCTAAGGAATAGAAGCTAAAAGTCAGAATTCAGAGCTATTTAATAGCTGAGCCACTGTCCTAGAGTGGGGGGACTCCCAGATTCTAGAAGTACCATGTTGCTAAGGCTACCTTTGAGGAGAGTTTTCCATTAGGCAGTGGGAGGTGAGAAGGGAGGAAGCATTATTTATTTGATTTATATTCCCGACGCCAAAGGGACCACCATTTCCTCTGTTTCCCCCCGAACTGGATTCACTTCTCTGATTTCACCTGATATTTCATATTTTTTTTTCTTCAGCCTTAATTTGGGAGCCACTGACTGCTGTGAGTACAGGCCTGAGGGTTCAAGTGCTGTGACTTTCTGAGAAGGGACCACCACTTTGGAAAACCTGAATTAGGAATTCTCCCCACAGTGAAACTTAAGCTCTTGTACTCATCCATTAGCTTAATAATAGAAATCCTCATTTTGCTTTTTGAACATATTTTAGGCAATAATTGTTTCTGCTGGAGAAATATTTTTATTATTTCATATATTATACTTTTATTTCTTTGAGTTTCATTTGGTAATTCTTGCACACTTTCCCCTGCTTTAAAAATGACGAACAGACCTTTGATAATAGATTAATTTTGGTACATGAAGGAAAAAAAAGATGAACAGGAAGTTTCTACTCTGAGGCTTGACTGTGTAGCTAAGATGACATCAGGAGACTTTTCACTGTAAAGTCATCCTTTCAGCCCCCAAAGAGATTGACCACCATAATACCTTCATCCCTTTCCTCACTGCTATTCCACTAGGAAAGGAAGGCAGTCATTCTTAAAATCCTCAGTGCAGGAGCTTAGGAGAATTTTAACCCAGATTTCTTTTCAGGAGAATAATAGCTTGGCTTCAAAAACCTTGGAATAAAAATAATAATGATAACAACAATACTGACAACAGCAGTAATACTTTCATAGTACTTACTATATGCCAGGTGCTATTTAAGCATTTTTATGTAATACAATAGTTTTCACAATAACCGCATGGTAGGTGCTATTATCTCCATTTTGTCAATGGAGAAAATATGGGGAAGTTATGTAACTTGCCTAGGGTCGTGGAGCTAGCGAGACTATGTAACTGAAAGTTGAGCTCATGAGTTCTGGCTCCAAAATCCAGGCTCTTAACCACCATACTATATATACTATTATGCCATGTACCCTTTCATTTTTAGAACAGTACAATTTCTTAAGATAAAGTCATGACTAAATTTCTAGTTTCAACATCTTATAATCTTTATTTAATGTATACTTTCTCTGTTTTAAAAATAACATTGTTGTAGCTAAGAGTCCTGACTTTAATGCCAGCTAGACCTGAACTTAGACGCAGGCTACTCGGTGATAAGTTACTTAATTTCTTTAGTTTCCTTATATGTATATCCACAGATTTTTAAAGAAGATTAAGTGAGATAAAATATGTAATGTGCTTAGAAGAGTACCTGGCCTAGAGTCCGTACTCAAGAAATGTTAGTGTTTATTAATATGTATTATAATCAAAGAAAGTATGGCAAGACTGAAAGTGGAAAGAAGAAAAAAATTAAACCACCCAGAATTCCACCCCTTGAGCTATTTTCGTTTTGTCTTTTATCTGTGTGTAAGAGAAATTAATTTTTTGTTGTTTATATTTCTGAACGGAGGTCCTGGTAGCTGTTTGCCAGTCACGATGGGTGGTGGAGAGGAAATTTGGAAGTAGATGTTAGGGTGTATATGTATGCAGAATTACTCTGCATAACACAGGAGGTAAATGAGACTCCCTGCTGCTGCTGCTGCTGCTGCTAAGTCACTTCAGTCGTGTCCGACTCTGTGCGACCCCATTGACGGCAGCCCACCAGGCTCTCCCGTCCCTGGGATTCTCCAGGCAAGAACACTGGAGTGGGTTGCCATTTCCTTCTCCAATGCATGACAGTGAAAAGTGAAAGTGAAGTTGCTCAGTCGTGTCCGACTCTTAGCGACCCCATGGACTGCAGCCCACCAGGCTCCTCCGTCCATGGGATTTTCCAGACAAGAGTACTGGAGTGGGGTGCCATTGCCTTCTGCGAAATGAGACTCCCTAGGGGACAAATAACTTAATCTCTGTATTAGATCTTCTGAGCAGTTCCTGATAAACACAGAGAAGGAAGCCATGGAGGGCCTCAAGATTTAGAACTACCCCTGTCAGAATGGACCACCTTTGTAATGTCTTTATCAGTTTAGTCCAGTTCAGTCGCTCTTTGTGTGTCCTCCTCTTTGCAACCCCATGGAGTGCAGCATGCCAAGCTTCCCTGTCCTAAACAGCTCCCGGAGCTTGCTCAATGTCATGTCCATCAAGTAATGATGTCAACCTGTGTTGTCCCCTTCTCCTCCAGCCTTCAATCTTTCCCAGCATCAGGGTCCTTTCTAATGAATCAGCTCTTCACATCAGGTGGCCAAAGTATTGGAGCTTCAGCTTGAGCATCAGTCCTTCCAATGAATATTCAGGATTGATTTCCTTAGGGATTGACTGGTTTGATCTCCTTGCAGTCCAAGGGACTCTCAAGAGTCTTCTCCAACTCCACAGCTCAAAAGCATCAACTCTTTGGTACTCAGCCTTCTTTATGGTTCAACTCTCACATCCATACATGACTACTGGAAAAACCATAGCTTTGACTAGACAGACCTTTGTTGGCCAAGTAATGTTTCTTCCTTTTAATATGCAGTCTGGGTTGGTCATAGACTTTCTTCCAAGGAGGAAGTGTCTTTAAATTTCATGGTTACAGTCACTGTCTGCAGTGATTTTGGAGCCCTAGAAAATAAAGTCTCTCGCTGTTTCCACTGTTTCCCCATCTATTTGCCATGAAGTGATGGGACCAGATGCCATTGTCTCAGTTTCCTGAATGCTGAGTTGTAAGCCAACTTTTTCACTCTCCTCTTTCACTTTCATCAAGAGTCTCTTTAGTTCTTCACTTTCTGCCATAAGGGTGGTGTCATCTGCATATCTGAGGTTATTGATATTTCCCCCAGCAATTTGATTCCAGCTTGTGTTTCATTCAGCCTGGTCACATGATGTACTCTGCATATAAGTTTAAACAGGGTGACAATATATAGCCTTGACATACTCCTGTTGAAGCCTAGCTTGGAGAATTTTGAGCATTACTTTGCTAGTGTGTGAGATGAGTGCAATTGTGCAGTAGTTAGAACATTCTTTGGCATTGCCTTTCTTTGGGATTGGAATGAAAACACCTTTTTCAGTCCTGTAACCACTGCTGAATTTTCCAAATTTACTGGCATATGAGTGCAGCACTTTCACAGCAGCATCTTTTAGGATTTGAAATATCTACCCTGGAATAGAAATGCTTTTATAGCAGTTCTCAATTTTTTGAAAGTAATAATGAGTCTCCAAAAGCCAAGCCTTAGATACTCATGCCAAGAGACACTTATCTAGCCTTTCATCTTCTCCAAGTCATTCTTCTCTGCACAGTTCCTCCCAGGGCCATCCAGGGGGGGCCTCTTCTGTCTTTCTCTATCTCAAGTCAGGCTCTTAGATGAGTGGGAGCACACACAAACCAAGTTAAATTACGTTAGGCAATAGTTCTGTGAATGCTTTATTAGCAGCGAACCTGAACCAGGTAGATTGCTTCCCTGAGGGTTTGTGTTAAGGACAACCATGAAAATCCAAGGAGAAAATATTAATACCTGACCAGACTAAGTTATAGTCACAGATAATGTTGCTGAGGGATAGTTTAGGGGAGAATTGTACTTAGCACTAAAATCCAGACGCTGATGTTACTATTTAAATAATTCACTTTTTTGCTTATTTTTATCCACAAGTTGGATATTTTAGATTAGCTTAAAAGTTACTACTTATCCATTAAGTAAATTCATATCTTAAAGATTTCAGATCTTTTGTGTTGCTAGAATCATAACTCAATGAGAAAGATTAAGGGGTAAAAATAATATAATAGATCAAGGGCCTCTCTAGTTCTATGGTTAAACTGGGGGAAAATTTCTCCCAAAAGCTGCTTCTTCTACCCACCTATGCATAGATTTTTCAGCTGGGTCTAATTAGCCATGATTACCTCTTGCTCTCACTATGGGAACTATTCCTTAATTTGATAGAGACTGTTAGGAAAGGGAAAAAAATAAATCTGGAAATTGCAGATAAAATTTGAGCACATCTTAGGTGATGTTCTAAAAAGAAATATCTCATATAAATCTTTTATAAGCATTTAGTAGAAAGTTGTTCAGGACGCCCCCCAGAAGGTGCAGACACTAATTGAGGAGCAGGTAGGAGGAGGGGCGGGGTTTGGAAGGAGCAGTGGCTTCCCAGGCAAAGCCCGGATGCAACGGGAATTCAGGCAAAGGTTAAGAGGAAAAGAACACAGCCTTGGGTGTCCAGGGAGTCAGGTTTAAAGAGTCCAAAGATTGAGGTTGTGACCTGGCCAGGGCACCAGTGTGGGAGATGGAGGTGCGAAGAGAGGACTGAAGAACCGCAAGTAATCGAGGAATCCAGACTTAGAGGAACCATTAGGGTATTCAGACAAGGCGTTCAAGGGAAACTCTCTCTGAATGTGTTTCAGGGTTGTTTGGCTCCTGTGTCAGTAATTTTGGGCTTCAAGTTTAAAAAAATCTGAAAGTGTGGATTAAACAAGATGGATATGTAGTTTTCTCTCAAACAACCTAAAGTTGGAAACTTGGTAGTCCAGAGCCGGTCTGCAGCACCACAACGCCAAGGATGGTGCTTATTCCTTGGCCTGCACTTTTCCTCTCAGAACCGCCTCACGTCAGGGTTTCTGCAACTCCAGCCTTCACATCTACCACACAGGTAGGAAGAGGGAGGAAGCGGGGAAGAACCAAACAAGGCTTATCAACAGAGTCAGTCAGTCCTTTAAAGGCTGTTCTCTGTAAGATTCCCCACTGTGATCCCTACTTACATCTTTTAACCCAGTCTGTTTTACTTGACCAGTTCTAACTAAAACAGAGGCTGTAGAAATAGGAGTTTTTTAAGCTTGGTATTGAGTTGTTTTTAAATAAAATTGGGGTTTTCTTAGTAAGATAAAAGTAAATTATGGATATTAAACACAATTAGCAGGCTCTACCACAAACCCCAACCATATGACAAAAATTATTTCTAATTCCCAGTTATGTGTTGAGTGAAGCTCTGAGGTGTGTTCTCTAGATGTCCTTTCACTGATTGTGAGGAAGAACAAGATAGTTTGCAGACAGCTGTTTCCAAAAACAAGTCAGAGCTAAGTCAGATTAAGGACAGATAACAATGATATTAAAAAGAGATTCCTATGAGAACGGCCTGGAGGAAGTATTAAAACATCACAGTGATTACAATGGTGGTTAAAGTGATGGGATTATGACTTTCCCAGTTTTCTGTTATACATTTGTTGTATTTTCCACTTTTTAAAAAAGAAAAATAGAGGATTTTCTGTTTTCTTTCTTTCTTTTTTTTTTTTACTGTTTTGATACTTCTTTTAGAGGGAAGGCATTTGGACCAGCCTGCTTAAAATGAAACATATGTCCAATGTGCAAACTAAGCCAAAAGGCCACAAAAATGTGTTTCAGAAACCAGACCAGGGCATTTGAGATTGCCCTTGCATAAACATATTGTGTGTGTGTTATATTGACTCTGTGTCATCTGTAAAGATGCCATAAAGAGCTAGCAAAAGCTCCCAGGAAGGAATATTAGAAAATGGGAGAGCTGCCCCAGGAGGGTTACTGAAGAGCAGGCAACAGCCAGAGGCCTGTTGGAAGGGGGACCTGGGTTCTAGGTCTTTCCTCACCCCTGCCTTTAACTGGTGGTAGGATCTTAGGAAAATTAACCTATCTTGTCCTGGTTTTCTTACCTAGAAAATGAGAGAATAGGATAAGATGATCATTAATTTTTTTTTTTTTACTCCTAAATAGTTTTATTTTCTGTTATTGTACAATTGAGAGAGAAAACAGAAATTTTTTGCAAGGTAAGGGTAAGGAGGAATGGAAGTAAGCAAGCAGTCTTAACATGGGAACAGGCTTAGCATGCTGACTGCAATTCTAGCACTAGGAGGGGTTCCCCAGGTGTACTTTGTTGTAGCCATCCAATTAAAATTCCTGAAAAAAGGAATTACTTTTGTAATCTCCCAAGCCAATAAAATGGACTAATTCCTTGAGAAAAAATTTTAACACAATTTTTTTTTTAGACAGCATTTATTCCACAATTCTTTTAACCTTGCCATACAGTTTTCTTTAATGTCTCTTCCTTCAAACTCCCAGTCCTTTTCTCTTTAAAGCTCCACAGGTCTTCCTGTCTTAAATTTAGAAGCATCCAGTGGTCAGTTTATATTACTTTCTGGATGATTTTTAATTAAAAAAAAAAAGTATGTACTTTTAATTGGAAAATTTAGGGTATGCATCTGTGTCTGTTTGTGTGCATATATGCAAGGGATTGCTATGGCTCTTCTGAAAGATTGTCCTGGAAAATATCTTGTAATCTAATATACTGCTCTAATGAGGTTGTTTTTCTAATGCAAATGAGGCCCGGAATTCAGCAGAAGAAATGGAGCTTCTCTCCCAGCACTACCACACTAATTATACTTATTTTGTTAACACAGCTCTTCCTTGAGCAAAGTTTTGCTCCTCCTTCTTTCCACCAGTCACTTTGGGATCAGGACATAAAAGTCTGGTTCTTGGGTGGGTGGGGAAGTCAATGAGCCAAATGTTAAGGGAGATAAAGCAGAACAGTACAGATTTAGCCACAATTTGGTGGAAATTAAGGTTCTTCACCTTCACTGTGGCCTCAGTGTAGCCTCCACTCCTTGGGCCCCGTGGGCCTTCATGGTTACTTGGATCAACATGGGAATTCTAAAGCCTCTGCACTAAGTCCCTGCTTTCATTTCCTTGGCACTGATATTCCGTGAAACTCCTCTTTCAAAATCGCCCTTCACTGTGACAGAGAAAACCCTTTTCAACTGTGTTCCCTCATCCTACCCTCCAGATCCAGAGAAAGAGGTGCCTCTCCATTTAATGTCTGGAGCCTTCGCTGGTGGTCCAGTGGTTAAGACTTTGCCTTCCAGTGCAGGGGGTACAGGTTCAGTCCCTCTTGGGGGAACTAAGATCCCACAGTCCTTGGAGCCAAAAAATTTGAGTGGACTTTAAAAATGATCCATGTCCAAAAAAAAAATCTTAAAAAAAAAAAAGTTAATGTCTCTAATGTATACTCCTTCAGAGTTCCCAGAGACCATACCTTTGGGTAAATCTGAAGGAGATGAGCTATCCAGCTCTCGTCAAGCCCAGACTTGGCACATTATTGAAGACTACAAAAGCCTGAGGCAGAAAAGCCTAAAGGGCAGTGTAGGTCTTCGTTAAAAATTCTTAAAGATGTGGAGAAGGGATATGCAAAACTTCCTTAAAATATTTTGTAAACTTCTCACCTTTCCGAATCCCACTTCCTTCTTATCTGCCTCTCCTCTGTCTACTTACCCAGTCTTTCCCTCTGGGAGTCAGGTTCATCTTCTAAGTCATTTGGCTTCCGTCAGCTTTTCCCTCTCCCCTCCTGATCACATGGCACAACTAAGGCTCAAAAATTAGCTGTCCAAGAAAATGTTCTTTCTCTTTAGAGCTCAGGGGTGATACTCATCATTCAACATTATAAAATAGAGATAAGAATCATACCCTCATACAGTTCTTGCAAAAATTAAGTGAGATAATATATCTCATTAAGTTCTTAGAATAGTAACTGTATGTTGTAAGTGCTAAATACATTTTAGTTCTTTTTATTACTAGCTGTATTTTCCTGGCACATCACATTTATTTTTTTCCTTTTCTAGCAATTCCCCATTTGCTCCTGTTCTCCATCCTAAACAATATATACTGACCATTTCTGACTTTTTTTAAATGATAAATTTTTTTGAAATATAAATTATCCATTTTGATTTTCAAAGTGCCTATTACTCCTCAAGTCCTTGATTTCTAGAAGGTCATAAGAGAAAAAATATCATGAAAAGAACTTTCCTTCATAGCATGGGCAACCATGGATGTACACCAAGTAGACCCATGTCAAGAATTTGCTGTGCAGTTTTAAAGAGTATAGCTGACTGTCTTCTTTCAGTGCATCCAGGATCTGCCCCAGCTTTCTAGCCAGGCCACATGCCTTATATACATGCATCTGCCTTACAGAGGTGTTTGTCATACATGTACCTGCCTTACAGAGGTGTTAGTTCCTCCCTCCCATCACCCTCTGGTACTATCAGGCCAGGAGGAGTGGGCTTAAGTGGAGTTTGAGAAGAGAGGAAGAAAATTTTGGCAGAAGGTGGGGAAAGGCATGCATATGGACATGGACTGTGGTTTGGAGCAGAAATGTATAAACTGTGTTCAGGGAATAGTAAGGTTGTTACAACGAAGCGAAATATATGAAACAGAGCCGTGAAATAGGAGGGTATTGAATAGTATAATCAGTGATGAATGATGACTAGCCTGGAGGTAACTGGTCAAGAGCTTAAGGCAAATGCAAAATTGTCTAGATTTAGTGCACGGAGCAAGAGTATGTAATTTAGGCTTATAATTATTAATAACGATAATTGGTCTTGTTTTTGGAGGGCTTACTATGTCTGAATTATTGTGCAAGAACCTCCTAAATGGTCTCCCTGAATTTCTTCTTGTTCTGCTAATTCTTACCTCAACAGAGCAGCCACAGTAATTTTTAAAAACTGCAGATCTGATCATATTGTTGACTCCTCCCTCATCCTTCTTAAAATTCTTACTGGTTTCTCTTCATTCTTCTGAAAAAGACCAAAATCCTTTTCATGGATAACTAGGTCCTGCCCAATCTGGCTCCAGCCTTTTCAGCTTCAAATCTTATTCTCCTTTGATTCCATAACCCAAGTCCTGCTCTCTCCTGGCAGAGTGCTTTCACAGATGCTCTTGCTTATCCTAGACAGCTCCTGCTAGTACCTCTTGGTCTGGTTAATGAGGCTTTATCCTCTCCATCTCCATGTAAAGGACACATTGTCAGGGAAGTCTAAGCTAGGTTCTGCATTAATCTCTCTTAGAATTTTCCTTCATAGCATGGACAGCCATGGAGGTACACCAAATGGATCTCCTGTTAAGAATTTGCTGTGCAGTTGTAAAGAGTATAGCTGATTGACTGTCTTCTTTGGTTGCATCCAGGACCTGCCCCAGCTTTCTAGCCAAGCCACATTCTTCCAGGTAGCCCCAATCTAATGACTAGACATAGTGCATAGTCCTAGTGCCTGGTCATTCTTGTCCAATGTGGGATTCCTTTAAAGGGCAAACTTTGTTCCTAGGTCCCTCTCGACGTGGCAGAGCCTTTGAGAGATCTGCATTGCAGTCTGAGACTCTTCTGCCCAATTCTGCTTCCTCTGCCCTTAATGCTTCTCAAACATTAACCCCCCACCCCCTACCAAATGTCTTATGCTTATAATTCTGTTATAATTCTCTTTGCAACTATTCCCTGGAGGACCCAAATGACACATTACACTTAGAGCTTTTTAAGCTGATATATTTATTTGTATGATATCTAATGTTTGCACCACACTGAAAAATTCGTGAGGGGAAGGTCCAGTTTTGCACTCAAAATTATATGCTTAGTTATCTTCCAGAGTACAAAAAGTCACTTAAAAGCTATTTATGACAAGGAAGTAAAGCATTTTTACATGCATTATTATCTCACTAATCCTTTGAGAGTGGTTCTATTTTTGTGACATTTTGAAGATGAGGAAACTAAATGAGAGATTAGCCCAAATTTGGATCCAGGTGTGTCTGATGTCAAACATCTTCTGAACTTCTGCTTAATTCCTTTTCAGCACAGGTGAGAATGAGGATCAAAATGAGTCTTCAACTAGGTTCCTTGGGTTTTTACCTTGCTGGGTCCTTGATCCATCAAATATTATAAGCTTGATTTGGAAGACATCTTGCCAAATTAATCTTTGTATTTCTAATAGTGCTTGACACTGAGAAGTACTCACTCCATGTGCAGCAAACTGGATGGGCAGCGGAGGGCAGGGATGATGCTTAAAGATGATTCTTGCCACCTCTGTAGATACCAGTAGAGGAGTGTGTCAACTCTATGGATTCTCAAGAGGAATTGATGTCCAAGACTGTGGAGCACAATCTTCTTTGACCACCATCCTTGTCCCCCCAGGCAGTGTCCCCTGCAAAGTTTCCATTAAAGCTGCAAAGACAAAATAGTGTACCTGAGAACTAGTCACTTCTCTCTTGCCTTCAGACTCGTGATGTACTTAATGCAGCTAAGAATGAATGATTGCAGCAGAGCCTGGGAGAAACCTTAGAGAAAAAAATCAGCTAATTTATTTCACAGGGGGAAGAAATCGAGACCCAGAGAAGTGAAGAAACTTGCCCAAGTAGCTGAGGCAGAACTGAAACTGGATCACATATTTCTCCATTCCTGACTGCCACCTTGCAGAAGAATCTATGGATCTTCATTTTGCTTCTTAGCAAGAAGGATAAACTTTGCTTCAGAGAGAGTCATGCAAGCCCCTTTTGCTGGGATGTGGCCCAGGGAGAGAGGGATGGAATGAATATGGGGTTCTAGAATATCAATACTGTGCAAGAATCGGTATTTCCTAGACAAGCCTGACTTGTGAAAATAAGATATACTCACTGGCAAGAGAAGTGTAATTGCTTGACTATAGATTACCTAATGTAGTTTGGATCTTATCATTGGAAAGTCTGAACAAATCTGAGTTCTCCTGCACTGCTTCCTCACATCTTTAATTGTTGTGGCCTAGAGCAATCACTGCTTTCTTTCAAGGAGCTCTTGCCACTGTGCTGACATTGAGTGTCTCTGTGTGAAGATTTGTGCCTTTCTGGTGTTGTTTTCATCTTATAAATTAAAAAGGAGGCAAAAATAGATCCTGCCAAAGGTCACACCACCTCAGTATTAGGACCAGTCTCTTCATTTACAAAAAGGGATGCTCAGCCTAGGAGGGATGGACCAGGTAGCCCTGGTTCTCTTCTAGCTGCTGGTCCTCTCTGGTGCCTGTCAGTCTGCCAGAGCCAGTGCCACAACTCTCTTAGTGCCCATCATTATCTTGGTTTGCAAGGAGGCCCTTCTGGGTTTGGAGAGGGTCAGGGCACAGGGCCAGCCAAGATGAGAGGCCACAGAGAAGAAATGAGGAAAAAAATCCTGGGGAAATGCATCAAAACAACACTGAGAACACAACACTGGCTATATACTAAGGATTGGCGAGAAAGTGAAATAGCCCCGTTCAAGGTCAGAGCAGTGAGGACATTCTCAAGTTAACTGAAATCAATTCTCCTTTCCTTTCAGCCTGGCAGCTGAATCTGGTGGGTGCCTAGGAAGCTGGAACACTAAGAGACAGCCCTGGCAGCTGCATGAGCAAAAGGTGAAAGGGCCCACAGATATAGGGCTGGGGCCAGACAGGAATCATTCTTTGACTCTTGTCATGGGTCCCTTGCTAATAAAGGCAGAGCCACTCCATGGTCCATGAAGGGCATTGTGGGAGTATCTATTCTTGTGGGCTCTCATTTTCATCACAATTGGTTTTCCATGTGTTTGTTTTTAAAATACAGGAATCATAGGTCCTTGTAGCTAAGACCATGTTTTGATGAGAGTGGGGGTGGGAAGAGGCTCTTCTACCATGAGTTTTAAAATTCAGGGCAGGAAAGCTGCTGCTCTTCTTACCAGAATCAGTTCTTGCCAAGACAGGTTCAAATGTTTTGGATCGATGAAGCAAGAGGAAGGAGGTGGGGGAATATAGAAAAATCAAGCTACTTTTCTCTCTTCTGCTTTACTGCCTGATGGGTGCATAAAGGTGAATGTTTAGGAGTTGATAAGGAGGCAAGGGAAAATAGTGTCCAGAGGAAGAAGAAGTATCACAGAAAGAGAATTTTTAAAGAAAAGGAAATCCATAGTTTGAAATTTTTAGCATGGAAGAGACATTTTTCACACAGATACAATTTACATAGATCTGTAAATGAGCAATTAAACTGAGAAGGGAAAAAGGAAAACAATGCAGTGGCCAGAACAAGGTGGGCTGGAGGCAGGTCTGCTAGCTGCTGTGATAGACAAGAAAGAGAAAAGATGTGTTGGGAGTGAATTTTCACACTTCAATTCAACATTTACTGAGCATCTATTAGGTGCCAGGCATTGTGCTGGATACTGGGTATTCAGAAGGCTCTATGATAAGAGTTATATTGCTAAGGAATTCACATTCTGGAAGAGAAGAGAGATCTGTTCACAGACAATCTCAAAACAAGGCATAATATGACAGATTCAATAGAGGTACAAGCTACATGCTACAGAAGACAGATGAGTCTGACATGAATTCCATCTAGCAGAGCACAGAAGCTGTCACAGAGGAAGTAACATTTGATCTAGAATGTGAAAGATGAGTGTTTTTTTCTCTTTTCACTGTGCTTTGATGTTTTTCTTATATGAAAAGGTAAATTTATTAGCTTAAGAAAATTAAATTTCTCCACTTTGCATTATAGTAACTTCAGGGACAGCATGTGAGATGACTCATTGGATATATTGTTGTTGACTGAAAAAGTACATGCTACTTAAAAGTTGAGAGTTATGTTTTATTCCATGAAAATTTTTAGGACTTAAGCACGAGAGGCAGCATCTCAAGTAACCCTGAGAGACCTTCTTTGAGGATGGGGGACAGTGGGGAGAGCCAGTTTCATACAAATTTTGCAACAAAGAGGAGGTAGGCTGAATGTCAAAAGTCTTTTTTTTTTGTAAATTAAGGAAAACCAGATATCCCAAGTTAAGAAATTTAGAGCTTTTCTATGCATGGGAGGATGCAAGTGTCCTCCCACATAAGTCATTCCTTTGATATACACCTCAGTTATGTAGGGCCAGTATCCTGTGTTTTTCACATCCTGAGCTTCCTCAGGGTTCATTATAGGGAGTGGCTGCAGTTTGATGGCTGCTAGATGGCAGGTATTCATTCCTTCCTGAACACCCTCAGTTCTTACTAGCTCACCTTCTGATGGTGGCAGCAATTGTTGATTATTGTGACATCCTTTGTTTACTGATATGGCAAGAAATATTCCATTTCTCATTACCTATCAGAGGTGAGGTCCAGACACAGTTGCTCTAATAGCCATGCAAAGGATCTTATGGAAACAAGAGAATTCAGAGTCCAGAGAACCCAGCTAGCTACAATGAGTAGAAACTTCTCCAGGGTAAAGGGCAACTCATTATTTGAGAAAAGCAATTTTGCCACTCTCTCAATAATATGCAGCCATTGCATTCTTATAATTATACCTCACATCATATTTATAATCTATTATTTTTACATGTGAAATTGCTTTAAGAACATAGCAAATATTTAAAATTAGAGATTGGACTGCTTAACTCAGGTGTTTTAACCAGAGGTCTGCAAGCTTTTTCTTTAAAGATCCAGATAGCAAATATTTTCAGCTTTGCAGGCCACGTGGTCTCTGTTGCAACTACCAGTTTCTACCTTTACAAGCATGAAAACAACCTATATAAACAATCATTTGTATAGGTGCTATATAAATGAATGAGCATGACTGCTTTCTAATAAAACTTTATTTATAAAAACAATGAGCTGGATTTAGTCCTAAGGCCATAGTTTATTGACCTCTGCTTTTAACCATCAGTTTAACTGACTCTCCTCAGACTCTCCCACTTCTATAACATGAAGGGCAGAGCAGATGTCAATTAAGAGCATAGCCCTCCTTTCCAGCCCCTCATCAGTACTTTCTGAAGAAAAATTTCCTTTTGTATTTTAAAATCAAAGCATTCTATTCTACCTTCTAACTGAAATTTCCACCTCCATTTTTTCTACCTCTAACCAGGCATGTCTTAATAGCTACATGGATTAATCGTCTCATGCCTAGCAACAGCTGTGGCTAAACTGCTCTGGAAACAGAATTTCCAGAGCTCTGTCCTGCACTGTGGTATAGATTGCCAGTTGTTAGCCTCAATGTTTATTCTTCTTTCCCTAGTAATATAACCCTCAATATTACTTAGGCATATAGCCACCCAGAATGCAGACACTTTCCAGTTTCCTTATAGCTGACCACGACAAGGTGATTAGATCTTGCTAATGTGAGGTAAAAAGAAATATTGTGCAGCACCTTTCAAGAAACCATTTTAAAAAGCAGTTGATGGGTGTCTTCTGCCCTTCTTCTTCATCCTTTCTCCATTATTCCACCTGGAAAATTGATGTGATGACCAAACTCTAGCTGTTCTCTTTGTCCATGAGGGCAGAGACTTTGTCACAGAATGTCAAAGCAGTGATCTGGGAAAGGTGTTAATACTTGAAGATAGTGGATTCTCATAGCAGCCCCAGGCCACCTTACTTTAACCTGATCCAGAAGTAAACTTTTGCCTTGTTTAAGTCACTGTTACTTGCAGCCATACCTAACTGTAATTAATACCTTGCTTTAAATTTTTAGATAGGGAATTTTTTTTTTGAAATGATGATTGAGATGAGTTTCACTGTAGGTCTTAAAATGACTTTTTTTTAAAACAATAAAGTTTTTAGTCTTAAATCATTGAATATTTATGATTGTCAAATGCAGAAGAGAGCACAAGTATCTCTTTGAATTTATTGGAAGTTTATAGCTTGTAAATGTTGTGCTTCTTATGGATTCAAATAACAGAGAGAGGCAATGGAGAAACATTTACTAATATTCTGGAATCTGGAGCCTGTTTGTTCTCTCAACAACACTGTTAAAGCAACAGGGCAAAGGTTATGCTACTGATACATAACCAGGTTAAATGGATACCATCAGAGTGCTGAACAGAGCAGTACCTCTTAGAAGAGCTAAGGGTGTACATCTTCTACAGTTCCCTGTCCCTACTTGCACTCCAGGCTTGCAAACTGCAGCAAGGTCTGCCCTCCCACTCTAAGCTTGCACTCTAAGGCCAATTTGTTGGAGGAGGTAATCAAGAGAATGTGCCCACCTGAGAGCTGTACCTGGGCATCAGAAGCTCCTCACTCCCTCCCCTGTCCTTGGACTGTTGGTTCTACCCCCCATTCCCACAGTGGGAGCTTTTCCAAGGACTCAGCCTTAAATGCGTAATGTGTTGTTGAGCCATCTGGACTGGATACATGACTAGCCAGGTTCAAGCCTCTATATGAACTTTCAGATCCTGGCCAGAGAGGTAGGAGAGCATGGAAATCTACTTGTTTTGTGGCCATTCAAGGTAAGTCTCATGAGTAAGTGCCCTTGCTTATTGAAACTGCCACTTACCAATCTAGCGTATCGACTAAAACATTAGTCACAACCTAGAAATTGAGAGTTATGTTTTATTTGGTGGGAATTCTTAGGACTTCAAGCCCAGGAGACAGCTTCTCAAGTGATCCTGAGAGAACTTTGCAGAGGAGGCCATGGGACATGGGGAGAAGTCAGGTTATATGGAAGTTTGCAGCAAGAATATCAAAAGATTATTGTTAATTAAGGAAAAACAACTATTTCAAGGAATTTAGCACTCTTCTATGTATGGGAAGGTACAAGCCTCTAGGCTCACTAAAATAATTTCTTTTATATGCATCTCAGCTCTCTGGGGGCCAGCACCATGCTTCTTGATTTTTTTTTTTTTTTTTTCCCTTTTTTTTTTTTTTTTTTTTTTTTTTACATTCTTAGTTCCTCTTCAGGAGTGGCAGCAGTCCAGCCTACAACTGTTGGATCACAAGAATTGTCTCCCTTTTGGGTGCCCTTCAAGCTCAGAAATTCACATTTGGAGGCCCCAAATCACTGATGGCTGTGACATCCTTGTTTACTGATAAGGCAGGAAATACTTCATTTCACAAAATGATCTACCTGTTTCTTTGGTCTTTCTTTGCTCTTCCTGATCAGGTGCCACGTTGAGACCCAACACAGCTTCTTGTGGGACAGAAGGATATAAAATAGGATGAGGAAACCCTATAGCTATAAGCTGATTCTCTTAACTGTTTGGAGAAAAGCTTATCTTTTGCTCATCAAGCAGACTGCCTGAGTTTTGATTCTGCTGTAGGAGTTCGCTATGCACAGAGGCCCCGCAGAGCAGTCCTCTTCTGCCTGATTCTCTAGTGCTGGGCAGTATAATTTGTCTTTTCCTTCTTTGCACTCGGTGTGGACGTTCCCTGACACGTTGATTTGTAAGACACAGGACAGAAGCAAGAAGGTTACGATGGTTCTACAAGGTTATACACAGGCCCTGTTTTTCTTTGTCTGCCAGTAGCTGGGCAATCTGGAAAAAAAGATTGCCTCTTTCCTGCTGTGCTTTACTTGAGAAAATGAAAAGTAATAAACCCCACTTCTTTACTTTTATTTCTCATAAATGCTTTAAGGCAGGGACCGTTAGGTTCCTGAAAGATTTATATTTTAGGGGCTCAAGGTATCCCAGTCCGTGGCTTATAATTCCAGCCTTTCCTCCTCAAATCCTATACTTCCTCCTTTTCATACAAAGATGGGGAGATGCTACGTTCCTCACCCTAACTGTAGGTCACAGTCAGTGCTACACTTTCCTCAGGAGTAGTATTTGACACCCCAATGCTGGTAACAATTTCAGGTTTAGTTCTTTCAATTGTGAGGAACCAGAGATAAATGAGGGGAGTGGCCATTCTAAGGATATACTTGGGCTGTCAGTGAGGCTAGAAACCTGGTTGAAGTCAAAGCAGATCTGGAGACAGGCTACTTTCTCCTGTTCTCTCAAAGACATCTGGTTTCCCTATGTGACTTTCTTTTTGCTCTCTGGATTGGCTTTGTCTTCATTCATTCACCAAATACTTATCACTTACCATATGCTGGGTACTGCTGTAGGCACTAAGAATACAGCAGTGAACAAAACAGACAATCATGGAGTTCAGACTTGAATGGAAAAAGACAGACAAAACACAGATAAATGAGTAATGTCAAGTATCAATACATACTATGAAGAAAAATAAATCCAGATAAGAAGATAGAGAGTAGCAGGGTGCTATGTTATAATAGATAGGATAGTTAGACAAAGCCTTTCTCAGAGGTAAAATTTGAGCACAGATCCAAATGAATTTAGAGAAGGAGCCAAGGGGGGTAGGGTGTTCCTGCAGAGGAAATGGCAGGTATGAGGGTCCTAAGGCAAGAAGATGTGCTTGGCCAGTGAAAGGATCAGCATACATATTAGCTGTGGCTAGGTTGCTGAGAGCAGGGGAAAAATTCACAGATAACAGGGTTGGAAAGAGGTATCCTGGAGCCAGATTATGTTGGGCCCTGTAGGGCATGGTATAACCAGTCGTGATCTGATTTGCAATTTACAAGTGTTCTTGTTGTTATGTGGAGACTAGACTGCAAGGGAGCAGGAGTGAAAGCAGAGAAGCCAGTCAGGAGGTGAATACAGTAATCCAAAGGGGGGTGATGACAGCTTAAACATGCTGCTGCTGAGAAGGTAGGAGGTGGATTAATTGGAATAAATTTTGAAGAATTTGCTTGTCCCTTGGATATTGCCTTTGAGGGGGAAAATGAAAGCAAAGTTGACTTAAATATTTTTTTTGGCCTTAGAAACTGATGTTATTTTCTGAGAAGGAAAACAATGAAAGAAGAATAGATTTGAGTAGGGAATACCAGGGTTTTGCTTATGGTAAACTTTCTTTTCTTATACTGGTGAGTTTATTTTAATCTCTGAAAGCATCTGTCAATTTTCAGCATCATTTCTACAGCATATAAAGATAGTAAATTTGAGTATGTCAGTTGAGATACTTGGGGCACAGTAGCAAATATAATCTGGAGTTAGATAAGTTATAGTTTTTATGATCTTTAACAAGTTTAGTAATTAAAAAAAGAATAATATCAAAGGAAAGTACTTGACTAGCACTCACTTTGGGTCAGGCACTATTCTAAGTGCTTTATAGTCTACTAACTCAATCCTCAAAATAACCTAGGAGGAAATAGGCATAGAGAGATTTCTGACTTTCCCTGGATCACACAACGGAGCTGGTGTGGAGCTAGTGTAGAAACCTATGTAGCTGGTTCCAGAGACAGTGCTCTTAGCCATTTTGCTCTACTACCTCATGTGGTTTTGTCCTTTAGTCTGTTGATATGGTGCATTATACACTGATTTTCATACGTCAAACTACCTATGGATTCTTGGGATAGATCCCATTTAGTTGTGACGTATGATTCTGCTTTCTGGTGTTTTATCGAAGAATTTTGTTTCTGTATTCGTAATGGATATTAGTCTCTATTTTTCTTTCTTGAGTTTTTTTTTTTTTTTTTGGTCTTCTTTTGATATTACTGGCCTCATAGAATCAGTTGGGAGATAATTTCCCCCATTCCATTATTTGGGAGAATTTATGAAGTGTTGGAAAGCTGAGCTTTTCTTTTGGAAAATTTGTCAATTATTAATTCAATTTCTTTACTTGTTAAAGGTCTGTTCAGATTTTCTTGGGGCTTCCCTGGTGGCTCAGACAGTCTTTCTTTCTTTCAGATTTTCTACTTCTTAGATCATTTTTGGTAGCTCATGTCTTTCTAGGGATTTATCCATCTGCATCTGTAATATGTATTTTGCTGGCATATAATTGTTCATAGTGTTTCCTTATAATCCTTTTTATTTCTGTAAAGTCAGTAGGAATGCTCCCTCTTTTATTCCTGATTTTAGAAATGTAGATATTTTCTCTTTTTTATTGATAAATTTTACTAAAAACTTGTCAGTTTGTTGAATTTTTCAAAGAATCAACTTTTGATTTTATTGATTTTATGTATTGTTTTCCTATTATACATTTCACTTATTTCTTCTTTGATATTATTTCTTCCTTCTACTTGCTTTAGGTTGAGTTTTTTAGAATCTTAAGATAGAAGTTTAGGTTATTGATTTGTGATCTTTTATCATTTCCTGCCTGCTTTATTAAGGTATAACTGACAAATAATTGCATTATACTTAAAGTGTACAATGTGATGATTTGATACAAGTGTGTATACAATGTCAAATAATTCACCCTATAAGGTTAACACATTCATCACCTCACGTGCTTAATTTTTTTGCTGAGAACACTTGAGTTCTACTCTCTTAGCAAATTTTAGTTATATAATGCGGTATGAATTGTAATCACTATGTTATGTATTAGATTCTCAGAACTTATTCATCTTATAGATTAAAATTTGTACCCATTTACCATCTTTCCCCATTTCTTCGACCCCAAGCCCCTGGCAACATTCACTCTACTGTCTGTTTCTATGAGTTAAACATTTTTTTTTTTAAAGACTCTGCGTATTATAATACCATGCAGTATTTGTCTTTATCTGTCAAACTCATTTATTATAATGCCCTCCAGGTTAATTCGTGTTATTGCAAATGGCAGTATTTTCTTTTTTGGGTCTGAATAAAATTCCATTGTGTGTGTGTGTATATATATATATTCACCACATTTTTGTTTTAATTCATTCATCCACTGATGGGCACTTAGGTTGTTTCCACACCTTGACTCTGGAGAATAATGCTGCAGTGAACAGAGAGTGCAGATATTTCTTCTATATCCTATTTTCATTTCCTTTGAATATATACCCAGAAGTGGGGTTGGTGAATTATATGGTAGTACTATTTTTAATTTTGTGAAGAACCACCATGCTGAATTTCCAGGTTTTCTAACACCATGTATTGAAGAGATTATTCTCTCACCATTGTATGTTCTTGACATCTTTGTTAAAAATTGATACCATATGTGCAAGGGTTTATTTATGGGCTCCCCATTCTGCTCTGTTAGTCTATGTGTCTGTTTTTCTGCCAATACCATACTCTTTTGATGACTATGGCTTTATAATGTAGTTTGAAATTAGGAATTGGCTATTTGGAGCTTTTTGTGATTCTATATAAACTTTAGAGTCCAAGAAGCCTGACCTTCAGGCAATGTCTAAGAAAGTCAGGACATTAGACATGTACTTTAGGCTGTATCAGATAAACTGGGAACATTGTTTTCTTTGCTACTAACTCTGCTGAACCAGAGGGAATAGTTTCTGGGAGTGCTTACGAACCAAATAGAATCACCTCTTTATTTTGTGTGATTCTGGGGAACTTGTGAATGCTGAGCCCTGATAGCTCTCAAAGCTAAGTGGTTTGAGAACCATTCCCATGGGTGGCCACTGTAAAAGTTAAGGTCCTAGATGTGTGGACCAGATTCTCTCAGGGAGAAGCTGGAGGTTTGGTTTTACTACTGGAGTGAGCCAGGGGGTTACAGCAGGAGCATTCCTATTCAGG